AACCTCTGAAGTGCTGTGTGCCTCAGTTGTTTTGTTTTTTCTTTCTTTTTTCCCCACTGCTCTTGGCATACACAGGTAATTCTTTATGTTTAGGTCTTAGCTTAGATGTCACTTCATCAGTTACCTTCCTTCATCCTTATCCTGTGGCAGATTAGCATACCCAGTTTCCATTCTCGTCTTTTAACTGACAGAATACAGAATTCTGACTGTGATGAACATGGGTCACACGCTAAGGGAAGAGCATACAGGAGGAATAAGGAAAGGGAAGGAAACCTAAAACTTGAAAGTGGTTGATGTGCCCACTGTGAAGGAGCTAATAAAGTCATCTTAAACTGACAGAGGTCACTATGGCAAGGTGACTGGAAAGTAGTGAAGAGGTCTGGAATCAATTCTGGTTGTAATACACAGGTGCGTGGAAGCAATGCTAGGAATCTCTCTGTATAGCTATCTTTATCTCAAACCTGCAAAAATGCTATGTCTTTCTTATTATCTCTTATCTTTCTTATTTTCTCTTCAACAAAATTGGAGGATGAGGGGAATGGAGGGCAGTGGGGAGGATGGCCCAAACAATGTATACGCGTATGAATAAATTAATAAACAATAAAAACAAAGAGTTCTGATTGTGATGGTGGTGGAGATGGTCTCAGAACATACTATATTTCCCAGAGTCTCTTGCATCTGGGGGCAGACAAATAACATAGTTCCAAACCATGTACAGAAGTTAGATTCTACTTCTGGAAAATTTCCCTAAGCTGGAGATCAATTCAACTTGCAAGCTAGCTCGGCAACTTGTCCCTTCTTTCTTGCCTCTGCCTAGATGGATGGAGCTCTAGCAACTTTCTTATAGATATATGATCAAGGGTGGTATTCTAACAATGTCAGATTAGAAAGTGAGAAGGAACATAGGGTCCTGAAGCACATAATAACAACTCTACTCTGCTTACCTCCAGACTTCTCATCCCCCAGAGAAAGAAGCAAACTAAATTATTTCAACTACAGTTGACCAGGTTTCTGTCACTCCCAGTTAAATGCCCAATTGATAATCCCCACCCAGATACACAAGTACTTCTTTGATTTCTCTCTAAGAACATAATGTCTTTCTCCTTCATAGCTCATATACTTTGTTTGATAAGTGTCCTAAACTTCTCACTAGTCTATAAGGGCCATGAAGTCTGAGACTCGATCTTCTTCCTCATTTCTATATTCCCAGTGCCTAGGAAGCTGAATGACTAGATATTTTAACAACCAATGAATTCCATCAGTAAGCAGCCCACAAATAGCTGAAAGAAATATAGTCTGAATATCAAATAAGCAGGTGGGAGCCTAACATTACTCATGTTAGGATCTCTACCGAAACAAAGTAAAAAGTAAATACAGCAACCAATCCTGCCCTTTCATCTCAAGTTTTGTTTTGTTTTGTTTTGCAGTTGTTTGACTCCATGGAATGAGTTTTTACAGGAGATAAAGGCATAGTTTTTATGCAAAGAATCCAATTAAATGAGAGCACAATGATACAATAGTGAAGATTTTTGGAATGATTAACCATGGTCACTAATAGGATGATGGTAATATGTCATTAATTCCTCCTTCAAATGTCTTAAAGTGCTTATCTGCATTTATAATCAACCTCTCTGCTTGCTAATGCCCAGGCTGTAATCATACTGACTTTTCTTCCCTGGAAAACATTATCCAAATAAAACTTTGGTCTATATTTTGTATGTATTGGAAAGAACCATTACTATTGGAAATTAGTTAGACAGTTCAAAAATGGTTTTTCTGGAAAATATTTTCAAATTGTTACTTCCATGGGAAAATGTTACCTAGATAACATTGTCAGCATGGTTGTACTTGTTCCCAGCTCTCACGTGATAAATTTGCATAGACATGCACAGTGGTACAAAGTACACATACATACAAACCTTGCTTGATGGATATCACAGTGACAGTGACCTCCAATTTGTGAGTGGCCTCTGCCTTAGTGTGAATTTCCCCAGAAGCAGACCTGGAAATAAGAATTCGAGAGCAAGTGTTTATAGGGAAGTATGAGAACACAGAGAAAAGGTTGCGGGGAGGAGAGAGGAAAGGAAGGCAGAGAATAAAGGGATGTGTTGTTAAGCAGTAGTGACAGGGAGTGATTGGAGCTTTAGCCTGCAGAGCAGCTCTGGGAAGCAGAGAAAGCCTCAGGGTGTCCCATCAGAGGCTATCACTCCCTCATTGAGGCTACTCTGGAGCTTGCTAATTCATTTCAGGCCAGGAAGAAGGATCCTGTGTGGGTCCTGGAAAGGTCCCGGGGAACAGAGATTTGGGTTCTGGCTGTCACAAGCCCAGGGCACCTCAAGCAGAAAGGTTTGAAAGGCAGCCTCCTCCAGTCAAGGTCAGCTATCAGAGTCTTTGTTCACATCTGGCAGAGGAGAAGGTTTTAAATAGCATATTAACATACTTTTTTTTTTATCTTAACAGTAATATGCTAAATTTTAAATTTCCCTTTTACTTAAGGTGCTGGTTTCCAATTTCTGGCAGTAATATAATATACAGATTATAAAAGACATCAATTTTAATAAAAGGTGATCAATTGGGTTATAGCACACTGAAAAAGATAACTGCATAGATGGCACACCAATGTGCAAAAATAATGGGTAAATGACTGAAGTTTCCAGACTCTGACGGATATACATACATGTGTGTGAATATGTGGTGCTGGGGATGGAACCCAAGATCTTGTGCATGCTAGACAAGTGTTCTACCATGGAGCTACACTCCCAGCCATTGCAGTTAATAAATATCTATGTGTACCCACCACTCTGCTAGGTACCAGGAGGAAGGTTAAAGACATAGAAGGCACAAGTCCCACCAAGGAGCAGAGTAGTGATGCTGCTGCAATGGGAGCTTGGACTAAGGAAGCACCATCAGCTCCACAAACAGATGCTACAGTGGAGGGCCATCTGTGCACTAAGATGGTCTCAGGAGGGTTTCAGAAATAGGAACCTCCAGGACAGCATGAGCAAAGGCAAAGAAGTGGCGTGAGAAGTGTGTGGGATGCCAACACTTAAGCCCGAGACCAAGGCAGGCACAGCCTAGGGTTCTTCCTCCCCTTACTCATCCTCCTACTCTACTGAGGCCACAGAGCTGGACTCAGCATCTGAGAGCAGGAAGGATGGAGAGGAAGCAAACTGCTGCCGAATGCTGCCAACTGCCCCCCAAATGTGCTGTCATCTTGAGAGGCTCTTATTGTGTAAGAAGACAAAAAATCCAGATGGTAAAGTTTTGGATTTTCAACTTCCTACATAGAAGTCACATTTTCCAGTACAGCCTAATTCTATTGAGTGTGCGTGATAGCCAAATGTCATTAACAAAGACCAGGCATGAAGATAAAGAATTAAGTCATTAGGCCAGGAGAGGCAACAGTTCTGTGTTCTTGGAGGGGTGTTGCAGTGGAAAGGAGCTGTTGCCAGGCTGCATCCAAGTGCTGTACAGTCACCAGGGACCATCCACACATGTAAGTACAAACCTGGACTGGCAGCAGCATCACATTCAATTAAGGCCTAGTCTTACTCAAGGAGCCACAGACCTATGACAGAAAATGCCTGAACATTGAGAAAACAAACAGATGTTTATTTGCATTCAAACTTGAGTTTGCATGCTGTTTACTTTGCTTAGGTGTCGAGAATGCAATTGTAGACTTGACTCACATTTCTCTGCATCTTCCTGTTTTCCAACAGGGTTCACCAAGTCTGAAAAAACAACCACTGGGGCAGTAAGCAGTGAGGAGGTCAATAAGCAGCCCACCATGGACTCAGACAGCTTGGGCTCTGTACTCACTCTAGCACAAGACTTTGGAAAATTTGCTTAGTTCCCTAGACTTTCTCTTCTATAAAATAGTGCAATAGAAGATGGGCATGGTGGTACACATCTATAATACCAGCTTCTTGGCAGGTGGAGACTGGAGTATCATGGTTCAAGGCCAGTCTGGGCAAACAGTAAGAACCACCGCCCCCCAATCTCAACAAAAAAACTTGGTGTGATATGTACACCTGTGGTCCCAGCTACTTGGAGGTAGATGTAGGAGAACTGATGTTCAAGGCCAGCTTGGGCAAAGTTTGTGTGACACCCTATCTGAAAAAACAAACTAAAATGTAAAAGTACTAGCCAGGATCTGGTGGCACACACATGTAATCCTAGCTATTTGGGAATCTGAGATCGGGAGGACTGTGGTTCAGCCCAGTCCAGGCAAATAGTTCATAAGACTCCATTTCAACCAACAGCTAGGTGCAGCGGTGTGCACCTGTCATCCCAGGCTACGCAGGAGGCTAAGATTGGGAGGATCACAGTTCCAGACCAGTCTGGAAAAAAAAAAGTTCATGAGACCCCATGTCAAAGAAAAAAAATCCAAGTGTGGTGGTATATGCCTGTCATCCCAGCAACTGTGGGAAGTATAAAATAGGAGGATCACAGTCCAGGTCAGCCTTGGCAAAAAGTGAGACCCTATTTCCAAAATATCCAGAGCAAAAAGGGCTGGAGGTGGAGGCATGGCTCAAGTGGTAAGTCTAGCAAACCCCAGTATCACAAAAAAAAAAAAAAAAAAGTCCTGGGGCATGGCTCAAGTGGTAGAGCATTTGCCTAGCAAGCTTCAGGCCTGAATTCAGTACTTAAAAAAAAAAAGAAGTATTTATTTCATAGGATTATAGGATTGTCACGAGAATGAAATAAGACAACTTTGAGCTTGGTGCCTGACGCATAAGTGCTTAAGCAACGTGTGATTGGTTAAACATGGCTAATTTTATAGTAGTGATCTTTATTTAGCCTTTGATGCCCTTTCTCACTGTAGAACAGCAGAAGGTATGAAGAGGAATTGGCACAGAAATGGAGACAGAAGCAGGATTTGACCAAATTCAATCCTTACAAGAAGATAAAGGAAGAGGAGAAGAGTACAGAGTCAGGGCTCTGTAGGAACAGAGCCAACAGGACACATACAGACATAGAAGAGGAGACTTACTATGGAAATGGCTTACGTGGTTATGGAGAGCACAAAGTCCCACAATATGTGGCCTGCTACAGAGGACTTGTACCTCAGTCCAAAGGCCCGGAAACCAGGCAAACAACAGTCCCAGTGCAAGGCTGCAGATCTAAGTTGGGGTTGGGTGGGAAGGGAAGTAGGGAGGTGCTGCTGGCTTAAATCCAGGATTTTGAAGACTCAAGAACCAGAAGATCCAGTCTGAGGGTAAGGGATGATAAATTTTCCAACCAAAGGGAGAAAATTCACCCTTCTTCTGCCTTTTTGTTCTGTCTAGGCCCTGTTATAGTTTAGATCTGGATTGTCCCCCAAAGGCTCATGTGCATAAGGCTTGGTCCCCAGCCAGTGAGAAGTAGTGGAAACTTTAGGAGGTGTGACCTACTTTGAAGAAATAGGTCACTGGGGTCACAGGAGACATGCCTTGGAGGGTATACCTTGTGAGGTGAGCATCATTCTCTACCAGGTGGTCCCACTGCCAGGATACCCTGCTTCACTTGAGGACCATACAATAACAGGCCAAATGACCATAGACTGAAAAGCCTCTGAAACCATAAGCCAAAATAAATCTCTCCTTTAAGTTGATTTCCTCAGTTATTTTGTCACAGTAATGGAAAGCTGACTAACAAAAGGCCCTTCACACATTGATGCCTATCCACAGTGGGGAGGCAAATCTTCTTTACTCAGTCCACTGAGTCAAATACTTCTCTCTTCTACAAACACTCTCACAGACACACTCAGAAACAGTTTTATCAGCTGTCTGTGCCTCCCTTAGCCTAGGCAAGTTGAAACACAAAAATAACCACAGTAAAGGCAAAGGCAGTGGGGTTCTAAAACATCAAATAGGAAAAGAAGATAGGAAAATACAAAGAGCCCATCATAAAAATGTACTTCCACTCATGCATATGCAATAACACCACAAGGTCTTACAAAAACAAGAACAAGCCAAACCCAAAAGCAGTTGATAGGAAGAAATAATAAAGAACATGGAAGAACTTAATAAAATTAAGAATTAAAAAATGCACAAAGAATCAATAGAACAAAAAGTTGGTTCTTTGAAAAGATAAAGAAGAGTGACAAACCTTTAACCAAACTAACTAAAAGAAAGAATAAGATCCAAATTAGTAAAATTAGAGATGAGAAATGGGATATCACAACAAATACCAATGAAATCCAGAGGATCATTAGAGAATACTTTAGAAACTTAACAGTCTAATAAACTGGAAATAGAAGAAATAGATACATTTCTAGATGCATATAACCTACCAAAATTAAACCAAGACAGTACAAACCACCTAAACGAAGGTATAAAAAGCAATGAGATTGAAGCAGTAATAGTCTCCCAACAAATAAAAGCCCAGGATCAGATGGATTCGCTGCTGAATTCTACCTTCAAAGACCTTTAAAAAAGAATTAACACCAATGCTCCTCAAACTATTCCATAAAATAGAAAGGGAAGGAATGCTACTAAACTTATTCTATGAAGCCAGTGTTACCTTGATACTAAAACTGAATAAAGAAACACACACACACACACAAGAAAATTATAGACCAATCCCCTTGATGAACATAAACTCAGAAATTCTCAATAAAATATTTGTGACCTGAAGTCAACAATACATTAAAAAGATCATACATAACTGG